ATCTCGCATCCGATCCGCCGATGAAAATATGCAAGGGGGAGGGGGGAACGATTTCGGGAACCAGACAAAACGGGAAGTTCTGTTCATTTTACACCTCTTCCGCGATAAGATATTCATTAAACATTAAATCGCATATGCAAACATATCTAATTCAGATCGGCAAGGGTAACTCACTTACCTTATCAACATGAGTAGCAACCAGCCATATGACACAGGCACGTGCTTGCGGTGCTTTCACTGAATCAATCAGACGGAGTACACGTTTCAGTAATTGCAGTGGAGGGTTCGTGTGCAACAGTCTGTAAAAATTTAAAGTAAAAAAAATTCGTTACTCTGAGAAGTAGCAGAATAAAGGAACTGGACTAACAGTCATGTTTAAGAAGACATTTTACGATGCAGTTCGTAAATTTTGTAGAGAATACTTATATAAAGAGACTTTGAGGTGAAAGAGGAAATGAAGGGGGAAGAAGCGGAGATGGGGGGAGATGGTGGTGCGGTAGGAAGTCCGGGAAAGTTGGTACACACGCATCGAAAAAACGCTGGGTACTACCGCAGTCCAAGGTCCAAAAGCGTAATATAACAGCAGCACTGAATCGCCAAGCCGGTTACCGAGGCGATTTTAGCATATTCGATTATGTTCCTCTCCACAATGGGCCGACAATGCCAAACAAACTGCATATTTTAACACATCAGACGATTTCAGGCCCCCATTCCCTTCCAATCTCCTAGCCAGGGATATTCGTTGTTTGTATCTCTAAAATTTCTATAACGCTTAGCATTCCTCATAACACACTTTATTCTGCACTTGTTCTGTATCTAAAGCCAAAACGTCAAAAAAATAACTGAATAAACATTAAAAATTATTAGCCCTTTTTCAAAAATAGATAACGAGTGACAAAAATTTCAAGCAAAAATTTTAAACATTTTAAACAGCTAAAGTTCCAGTTCTAAGGTTTCCCAGAGCAATTTTTTCCAAGCATCCATTCACACTGCGTGCCAAAAAAAAAACAAACTACAGCTAGTCAAAGTATTCTTTCTAAGTAAGTAAAATATTTTTCAAAAAGGGCTCAAATGTGGACCGTTTCAAAACGACAACTGCTGCCGAGACGACGTTTTCATTTGATGATGCGATCAGCGAGACTAAACCGGAGAGACAAGAATCAGCAACCGAATTTACACGCACTGCGCACTGGCCAATCGCACCCACAGCGGCATCTGCCATTTCCGCAATATTAACATAGGTCTGGAATAAAAGACTGCTGCAATCAGCAGTTGTTTTTTCAAAAAGTCCTTAAAATATAGGGGTAAATACGAGCAAAAAAAATAGCATAAACGCTAGCAGGAAATCTAATTTTCCCACGAATGTATCATCTGCTCATCGACAATGGAATTCTGACTGAAAATCAGAAATGTTGCAAAATTCGCCAAATAAGTTCCTGAGTATTGGGAAAAAAAGCTGTACTCCAAATTCTCGAAGGAAAAAAACAAGAAAAAAGCCCAGATGCATAAGTGTGTAGAAGCTTAAAAGTTACTAACTACACCTG